TTCCGCAGAAACTCTCACATGGCCGGTCGCTGATAGATTGTGGCCTACTTAGAGGATATATACAAGGTGCTTTCCAAAGTAAACAGGACTTCTTGAATCTAGCGAACCCTAGTGGTGCCATCTATATGTCAACTGGTGCGTTCTGCTATCTTTATCAATTGCCTAGTGAGAATTTCATGACATTTCATCGTTTGGAAGTGAAGTTATTGCGTTTTAAGTGTCAGTATGTTTGTGTTATGGGTGCGAAAATGAGCTTCGAAAAAAGAGCCAACATTACATTTTATTTTAAAATTGGTAAAACTTTTACCGAAACGTTTCAATTGATGAAACAAGTTTATGGCGATGATTGCCTATCTCGTAGCAGAGTTCACGAGTGGATTCGACGTTTTCATAGTGGTCGTGAGGACATAAATGACGATCAATATGTGGGCCAATCAAAATCCGCGATCACCGGAAATTCCATCGAAACTGTGCGTGAATTCATGAAAAATCGGCCGAAATCATCATTGAGATTCATGAAAATGGAATTGAACATCTCCAAAACATTGATTTATCGCATTTTGACCGAACATTTGGGCCTACGAAAGGTGTGGCATGGTTTGTACCGCACAAATTGACCGACGGTCAAAAATTGCTCAGAATTTAACATTCGAAGGACGATTATTTGACCAAAAATCACATCTTAACCATTAACCACAAAACACTCGTTCGACATGCTTTTGGACCGTGAAAAAGGCTACATTGAAGCAGGAGACTATTTTGAATAAAATAAATTGATTTTGCCTTAAAAACCATTAGTTCTGTGTTTTTTTTTAAGTTCTGTTTACTTTGGAACACACCTTGTACTTGTAAATGATTGAGATGACGAGACGGATGACTTTCTGTCTGTTTCTGCGAACATCCATTCGTCTGAGTAACTTGAATAAAAATTAAAATATCGCAATGAATGGTGTTCTTTATCGAAAACCTAAGGACGAGTTCTTAGATATGCGTAATCTGATGTTAACCCCACCCACTCCCCATATAACGGTACGGTTAAAAAGTACCAAATGCGCGATATATCTATAACTAAATATGCCAGAGGCATTAAGTTTTATCATCGAGATGGTATAAGAGTGCTTTAAAGGACTCGCATTCAAAATTGGGATATGGGCATGGCACCCGAAATCATATACCTCGGACCTTGCTCTAATGATTTCAATTAAAGTCAGCACATACAATTTATTTGTCATTCGAATATTACAGTGGGAAACTGAGTGATATTCGGCGAACACCACGCATACTTTCCATATAACATAATTTAAAACTTTTTTTTCCACTTCCAGTATGCAAATCAAATAATCAATTAATATATCAGGTTAAAACTTTTCACGAATAGTGCCTTTGAGGTGTGCCACCTCATAACTAAAAATTTCCCAAATCGAACAAAAACTGTTCAAGCGCCTAGGTACTGCAAATGTGGGCTTAGTGCTTAAAGTTAACTTTTTACCAAAAATATCGGTCAATGAGTGAGATGTATAATTGAAATTCAGAGAAATCATTTCCTCTTAGCAGTATTTCTGTGTATATGAATTGGTTGAATCCTGTCAATATTTCCTTTATCCCCCACACACCTAATATAAAGATTTTCGAACTTCCGGGTGCATTTATGTCCGACCAAAATGCGAGTTATCTGAGCGAGCGAGTGGAACCTAGCTCTCTTTGTTAGTTATATGTTACTTGGTAGTTATATAAAATTATGTTAGTATGACAGCTTTATGGGACAGTGTTTCGATAACAGTGGGTCTGATTAATGATCTACTAATGATCCTCTGCGGACATCTCAAAAATCGTGAAAAATATCTTGTATTTGGCATGAAAATCTACCAAATCAAATATGGCAAAGAACATGTCGCGCACTGTGACGGCTGTGTATGCGGGTATGTAGATAACAGTCATACTTGCATCGTTGCGGTTTCTTGCCTTGCACTTCTGTTTCCGTTTCCTTTTTATTGTTGGTTACTCCTTAGCTCACCCACTCATATTGCCATGTTGTTGTTCATTGTTAACGTTATTGCAGCCAACGCTGCAGTGGCAGTTGTTTTTGCTGGTGCCTGTCATTGTTTACATGCATTGATTGAATTTGTTTACTTACACCATTAAATTTGCAAATTGCCATTTTGGAGGTGAATTTTGCATAAACTGTCAGAAAATGTAGCTCTACAAAAACGTATACATGAACACACACACCTATTTGAATAGTGTACTTGTTCTCATGTTGCAAGGACACCGTCAAGCAGTTTTGCCCGGCAGAGTGTTGAAGCAATTATGAAGTTTTGCTGAATCGTTTTTGGGCAAGAGACTACATAAAAGCATCTACTATACTCAACTAAATCTGTATCTATGTATGTGTGAGTAAAATGTGTTGGCTCGCAGGTGTAATTTGAAGATATATCGACCATGACATTGTTGTTTATGTGGTTTTAATAATGTTAATAGCAATAAAACGATAACATTATGTTTGGTAATCGATTTAAGCGTGCATTTTAGTCTAGAGATCCGAATTTAGACCATTTTGTGCCAATTGATAAGAAAGTGATTTAATATTTGAACTATTTACTTTCTTATCGTTTGCTTACTCATTCATCATAAATATCCAAAATAAATTTAAAAAACAAATCTAATATATTTGCATAAAGCTATGCATCTCTGAAGTAGAAGAGGAAATAATTCTTTTCAAAAATAAAAATTAAACCATTTTTTTTTATAAAATGTAAGTTACTCAAAAATAATAGCCGATTTTTTATAATTTTTTTTAGAAAAATTACTAAGTAGAAATTTTCAGTTGATGGTGTGTGAATTTTTATTCATACGATAGTTTGGAGAGTATTCGTGAATCGACTGATTACAACTTAAGGTATTGGACGATCGCCTCGAAAAAAGAAATTTCAAGAGAAATGGAAAGCAAAATTTTATTTTTTTAGTCTAGTGTCTCGAAAATTGCAAACTAATTTGCTCAAGACCGCATAACAAAACGAATCCTTCGCACCTGTAAACACTTAGAACATCTTTACATTCGTTCCAACAGTCCTGGCTCTTTGGTAGCTTGCCCCAGTTGAAGCATTCCTGCTCCTTGGTCCACCAAGTGAGCTGGAGTCGCAGCGTAGAGCATACGTACTGAAGAGCTGTATTTAAGGCATTCGTAAATACAGTCACGCCCTTTTCAAGCTCTTCGTGGAAGTTATGTACGCAAGGTCTAAGTCTCTTGCCTATAGTATCTGCCTGTAGAGATCCCATTTGTATTCCTGGGATATCCCCTAAACTCGTTTCTAATCTTTGCCTCTGATCTAATGGGGAAGCATTAAGCAGCGGGCGTTAGCATTTGCGCCCACCACCAACGAATGCTTCCAATCTTTGGAGTTCTGCGGTTGGCATCTCGCAATCGTGTGGCATATAGCAGGATGCAAGGAAAAGTCAGATCAGCTGCGGAAAGACTGTGGAAAGAGGCATTCTTACTCTTGTGGAGGGTCACTTGAAATACCGTCAGCCTTGGTTTTGGATCATCAGACTGATTACTGAGTTCTTTTTCCATATCCACCTCCTGTAGGACAAGTGAAGTAGCCATGATCTTGAGATCCTTTCTACTTCACCTATTTCCAACATGTTTTTGTTGTCGTCCGCAGGGTGGAGTTTTTTGAGGCGAAGGAACAGGCTTCCCACGCCCCGCGACAACTTCCCGAACATCGCGTACAGAACATCTTCTGCCGCCTTATTGATCTGGACGATGAAGCTTTGGCCTCCATCATTGATTGATTTCGTCACGCTTAACACCCTGCAGTCGCTAGTTGGCACGTCCGGATTCTGTCTTTGTGGCAGCCGCATTTTCCAGGTGAACTACGCGAGATATGGTCACCTTCCTTCGCCTTGGGCACCGATAAAATATTGCTGCAGTCCATACCTTCAGTTTCGTTCATTTGTATTTCAAGATTTTGATTCCGCTAAGCCATTCTGCTCTATAAATGCACTCGGTTCGGTTTCGAGAAGCGAACTTCCTAGAGCTTCGTTTCCATTATTTTCCATCGCTCCTGTAACATTTGTCCCAGCAAGTTACTGGGGTCTATTAGCGCGACGGTCAAATGCTGCCTCGCAATCTCATTGGATATTATCGGTTTGTCATCCGAGTGCTTGACGTCTAACTTCCCGGCTACCTATTTGCATTTCCTCTTATTCGGGGGCACTTTCGGTTCGCTGTCTTTCGGAGGCTGCCTTTTTCAGTGATATGCTCCTCAATGCGATTAGCATACTCTGAATCCGAGGTATTCAACCAATTTCCTAGTGGCGAAGTGTGCACGGCCATTCGTCATCTCCTCTCTGGGTCTTGTTAGCCGTTTTACCTCTTCTTCCTTCTGACAAAACTTTCTCACGGGACGGTTGCATATTCCTACCGTCGCCTTGTCCCTTTTTTTGTCTTCAACCCCGCCATGTTTCGCTTCTTCCGGGACCTCTCTTGTTGCCCGAGTTGTAACTCCCGGTCACCTGCACATGAGAGCTAAGAATTTCTTCTGCTTTAATGCTTACAGCACTTTCTTGGCCTGAGTCTTTATTTACTGTGGCAACCTTGCTCTGTACAGCTGGTTTGACAGTTGCACTACAACCACCGTAACCTTCTCTCTTTGCAGTGGAGTTTTCATTAGGTGCTGAAGTTTTCGATGAAGTAGAGGCCGAAATTTAGAAATTTTTATTTCGTCTCTACTCAAGTATTTTGTTGTAATTGCAGTTTATAAAGTTATCTGTCATATAAGTGAAACGAATGTTGAATTTTTCCGCTCCCTTAATTAAAAGTTTTAAGTTAGAAACTATATTAATCAAAAACAAAAAAAAAAAAAAGTTAAGATTCATGATGAACGATAAAAAAATATGCAGTTCACCCTGTGTAGGCCACGTGACATGTGTAAATTTGTTTTACCTTTATTTACATTCTACTTATATCTGTTAAAAATATTTATATAATATTTCGCGTAATGTGTAGCGTGAGTATATATTTGTCCGCCTTCGTGTTACTACAATCATCACAGTTATGTAGGTCCTTTATTGCAAATTCATCATCGGATGGAGATTACAAATTTCTGGTAGCCGGAGGCCAACGCGTGGCGAACGTGCAAAACTATGCCCGCTTCATGGTCTCATTGCGTCAACGCACCGCCACCAGATACTTTGGTGATAATCATTATTGTGCCGGCGTCATTATCAGTTACCGTTGGATAGTCACAGCGGCGCAGTGTATAGTCTAGTACGTATATTTTACTTTAAAATCTACGAATATTTTGAATAATTAGTTCATTTACTTTTGTGTGTGCAGTCCTTCAAAAATCCCGCGACGTCCGCGTACAATAATTGTTGTGATTGGCACGGAGAATCGCATAATACATACTAACACTACGCGTCTTATGGCCGTCGATAGAGTTGTTGTAAATCGGAATTTCACATTGTACAGCACTCACGATATCGGATTGCTTCGATTAAAGCGTCGTATTACACTCAATGCTCGCGTACAAATTATGCCGCTACCCACACTTCCACCGCCGTATGGTGAGCTTTGTATAGTTCTCGGTTGGGGTAGACTTTACTACGTAAGTTGATACCCATATATCGGTTTGTTTGATTTATTTCTACTCATCGTCTATTGCTTGCTTGGTGAAGGATGGACCGTATGCGGGTAGCGTGTCACACGTTGTGTTACAGCTTTCTACCGAGGAGGGTTGTAAAAAGGCTTATCCCCGTTACTCACCGGGTGACTTATGCGCTAGCTATCACGGTCGCTTCGATCATGATCCATGCACCGGCGATGCTGGTGGACCACTTATTTGTAGGGGCAAACTCGTAGCTGTTGTTTCTTGGACTCTTGGCTGTGGTCGGACTGAAACACCAAGTTTATACACTGATATATATTACAATTTGAAATGGATTAAATCGGTGATGGCAGGTCAAAGCCGTTTATCTGTGTTGAAAGAACTCGAAATTTTAGAGTTAATATATTTTGTATTGTTGTATTTTCCATAAGAGCTTACTAAATCCATGGGAAATAAAAAGTTTGCTTTATTTATGTGGTATACTTATATGTAGTATGTTAGTGGTCATGCTTTGGAATTTCAGGAGTAAAGACTGAAAATAAATCAATTATTTTTCCAATATATCTTATTTTTTAATGGCGCAGACACAGCTTAGGCGGTTATAGCCGAGTTAACAACAGCGCACCAGTCATTTCTCGGTATTCTCCGTGAACGCTGGACGGGAATAATGAGAAACTTATAGAGTTTGGGATTTGTTCGTCGAGAGAGGACTTTATTTCTCAATCGTCTATTCAGTCCGAAGTAGCACTTGTTGGCAAGAGGTAGTCTGTGTTGGATTTTAAGCTTGTTGGTTGCAAGATAGAATAATTTATCTACGACTTCGATGTTATGACTGTTCCAATTGCGGCCAATGATATCAATATCATCGGAATTGCCAGCAGCTGTACACTCTTATAAAAGATTGTATCTGCTCGTTTAAGTTCTGTAGCTTGAAATATTTTATCCAGCGGCAGGTTGAAGAAGTCGCACGATAGTCAGTCGCTTTGTCTGAAACCTTGTTTGGTTTCGTACAGTTCGGAGAGGTCTTTGCTGATCTTGAGTGAGCTTTTGGTATTGATTGACGTCAATTTACACGGCCGTATTAGTTTTGCGGAGATAACAAATTCAGACATCGCGGAATAAATGTAGCTTCTTTACGTGCTGTCAAAAGCAGCTTTGAAATCGACGAAGAGGTGTATCGGTTCTCTTTTCACCGGTCTTTTCCAAGATTTAGCGTATGGTGGATATCTGGTCAGTTGTTGAGTCTCCATGTTTATGTCCGATCTAATTCTACATATTCTACAAAAAAGCTGATGCTCCTTATCAGTTATTCGCCGCTGTCTTTGAATAGCTCGGCCATCAATCCATCGGCACCCGACGCTTTGTTGTTCTTCATGGTCACGGGCAATGGAACGTCTTCTCCATCTCCACCGATTGTGTAATTGGATTCGCCGTCTCCTGGTGTTATGCTTTCACTGCCATTCAACAGGCTGGATAATTGTTCTCTCCATAATTTTACTATGCTCTGGGCATCAGTCACTAGATTACCTCTGGGAGTTATACGAGAGTATGCTCCGGTCTTGAAACCTTATGTTATTCGTCGTATTTTTCGAGTATTACCCCTGTCGGCCAGCTTAGCAAGCTCTTCGGAGTCATGCATTTCCGCCTCTCTTTTTTTTTTTTTTGTTTCCAGTATATACTTTAGGAATACTATATATACGAGGTGTGTTCAAGAGGTATCGCGAATTTTGTGTTTTTTCAAGAATTATTTTTTTATTCATCAATATCTATTCTGTCCCTTCAAAGTAATCCCATGAGATATTATACACTTGTGCCAACAGTTTTCCAATCTTCGAAGTACTTCAAAAAATCATTTTTTTTATCTTCTTCAGCTCCTCCTTCGATGTCGTCTTTATCTCGTCAAGAGAAGCGTAACGTCGTCCTTTCATGGGCCTCTTCAGTTTAAGGAACAAGAAAAAGTCACAGGGGGCCAGATCTGGAGAATACGGTGGCTGCGCCATCATTAGTGTGTTGTTTTATGGGCAAAAAGTCGCGCACAAGCAACGATGTGTGAGCAGATGCGTTACCGTGGTGCAAAAGCCAATTTTTGTCACATCTTCTCGGCCTTCTGAGAAAAGTTTGTACCACCGATAAACGTTGCTTCGGTCCAATATAGCTTCTCCGTATGCCACAGTCAACATTCGGAATACATCCGCTCACTTAATTTCGTTTTCCACATACAATTTTATACAGGTTCTTTGATCCATTTTTTTGCAATTCTTCTTCGATTAAGGCGAAATCAGTCATAAAGTTTTTATTATGCGTCTAAAGAGATTGCTAGGGAAAGGTCTATTATGAGCTGGTATTCTACTGTGAAACTCTTAATTCAGACCAGTACTGTCAGCAATTAGACCGTCTAAAGGAACTAATTGTACATAAGCGGCCAGGGTTGGCCATCAATTGCCTGGCCCCGAACGTCGATAGGACTCGGCAGAAACTTCGGGAGGTTTGTTGGGAGGTTTTTATCAACCACCTTACAGTCCGGAACTAATATCAAGAGATTGCTTGCTACCTATTGCTATTTAAAGCAAATCATTATGCTGTTGAAAAATTTACCTTCAGAGAACCTAGTGAAAATTGACTGCTTCAGTTTCATGGCAATAGGAACGAGAGTTTCTATGAGAGTGATGTTATGAAATTAGTTTCAAGATGGCAAAAAGTTATTGGAAAAAATGGTATATACTTGATCTTATTTCGATTATTCAAACTATGGTAAATAAAAGCTTGGGAGCTATAATACCCTTCACAGATCCAAGTTTTTCTTACAAAAGCTTTCGTTTAATCGATCGATCTATATATATACGAACCAGTCTTTCAGTTTTTGAGATATCGATCTGAAGTTTTGCAGACGTCTTTTTCTCATAAGAAGTTGCGCATTTGCCGGTACCGCCGATATCGGACAACTATAGCATAAAGCTGTTATACAAACTGTTCGATCAAATTTATGTACTTGTATAAAGAACTCTTTTATTTGTCAAAGTTATCTTTACCAAATTTGGCAAATGTTATTTTCCAAAGCATCACTACAATCTCCGAATATCGATCGAACCGCTATAGTTTATTACAACTAATCGAAATATATATACTTTTCCGTAGTTCCTAGGTTGAACATAGGGCCTCAATCGAAATTAGAATAAGTATATCTCTCTATAAAAAAGCTCTTGTGGTTGGTACAATAACTTCGGTGTTGTCGAAGTTAATGTTTTTTCTTGTTTTTTCTTTTATCATTCGTTTTTTCTGACTTCACTCAATTCTAAAATAAACAATTACTTCGTGTATGCCCTGTGTACTTTTCAACCTGTTCCATGGAACCCACAAATCTATTATACATTTTTTAGTACTTTTAATTTGTCTAATAAAATAAAAATGTAATTTTTTTGTGGCATTAATGTCGACATCTCTGCAATTTTCGAGTATTCTCTATTGTATCACATTATATTTGCTACTCATCGAAAATGCGTACAGCCTTAGGAACATCAGCAGCCATCACGATTATTATCACCATCAGCCTCCAAGTAAAAAGTTCAAATTACCTATGAACATATCTTATATGCCGCAGAAGGAGAGAAAGTATAAAATGATTGTAACGGAGGGATATACTCGTAGGAACTATAGGAACTTTTACACTGTGCTACAAAGAAACATCGTTTCCATACGCACCGCCCGAGCGACCGCTTACTTCGGAGATAATCACATTTGTGCGGGCTCAATTATATCGGACGATCTAATATTAACTGCGGCGCATTGTGTTATCGAGTGAGTAGAGTTTTGCCTCTATAAGCGACTGCTGTAATTTATCAAATTTCTTCATCAAAAATTGTAGTCGCCGCAAGATTGTGACGCGTGGTCATCGTATTATAGTAGTTGGTGGTACACCAAATCGCTTGAATCCGTACGTAGGAACAGTCGAAATGAAAGTACTCGATGTGATTCCACATCATGACTTCGTACCAGATGGTGCACACGATATAGCATTATTGCGTCTTGCTGAGAACTTTCGCGATGACAATGATTTTATTCGAGTAATTCCCCTCTCCGATGGAATTATACCAAACGGTACAATATGCACGATCATTGGTTGGGGTCAAATCTTTTATGTGTGTATACTATTTATATTACTGTGAGTTTATAATATTAAGATTACTCTGTTATTGTTTTGTTTGTTTTTTGGTACAGCGTGGTCCCTATTCAGGTGATGCTATACATGGTGCTATGATTGTGTTTTCTTATAACTATTGCCTACAATTTTATCCAAATGTATTTGATGAGACGATGATGTGTGCCAGCAGAGCAGACGCATGGGATGTTAACACATGTCGTGGGGATGCGGGTGGCCCGCTAATTTGCGGTGGTCGTGTAGCCGGTGTTGTTTCTTGGCGGTCGTATTGTGGAAGAGACACGAAACCAACGGTATTTGCTAGCGTATATCATCATCGTGATTGGATCAAAATGGCGAGCTGTGCAAATATATTAAAGTCACTAAAGAAACTACATTTATTATTAAATATGTTGTGCATTTATATCTCTTCTTAAAATTAATCTATATATATTATCGATATGAACATAGTTTATGTGAGTGTGAGCAGGATGGGCATTAGCTTTTGATTCGAGCATTTACACATAATTATGTATACTTTTTAACTAAATTTCACAAAAAAATATTACGGAAGTTTCCTGTGAAATAATATAGCTAATAAATGAAATTAAAAATTTATGTGGCGACTGTAGATTGTAGATTGAAATTACTGTATTTATTAGCCTCAGGGCTAAGTATTATATGCTGTGAAGATTTATTCCGTTTACTACGTTGTTGTAAGCTTTTGATTTATTCGTTGTGAATACCACTCCTCTGTAAATTTTTGGGTTTTCCATACTGTTGGTGCACTAAAACGCTAAAGTTAAAGTAAAGAAGTTCGAAAATCTTTCTATTTAGTATATACAGCCTAAGGAATTATTGATCCGATCGTACCCGTTCTTGTCATATACTATAGGCATACTGTTTTCCAGCGGTGCCACGCCCACTTATTTATTATTTGAAATGTAGATGTTGCTCCGTAATTGAATAACTAACAGCCTGGCACAGCTTAGTCATTATCGATTAATAGGGTTTTGTGATCGTCCGATCAATCCAATATCCGCAATACCAACCCTCCCTAGGCGCTAGGACGTGTGTGATACCATCAAGGTATCTCAATCTAAGTGGTTTCTAATCTCGATTCGTACCATCTATGTTTCTATGCCATATAATAGAAAGGGAATGATAAGAGCCTTATAAACTTTAATTTTTGTTCGTCGATAGCAGGTTTTGTTTTTCAATTTTCTGCCCATCCCAAAATAGCACCTCTAGGGAAAAGTTATTCTGCACTTGATCTTCGAGCTTATATAGTTGGTATAATCCTT